TATATTATGTGAACCCAGCAATTCTGATCTATAAACTATGATTTATGACTTAGTATTATGTATAAGCTCAGGTTATTTCCCCAACCCATATCATGCAGCCTTCAGCCATTGCTGAACACAACTCCCAATACTTGGTCCGCGTGACAATTGGGGAGGTGGGCTGAGAAATTTATTGATTTATAAAATTTATTGGCTGCCCATCTTACCTGTGGGTAACGCTGGGCAGCTTAAAATCATATATATGTATGTATATGTACTATATATGTACATGTACTGTAAATGGATATGGATATATGTATAGAAACATAAGTTAATGCCAACCACTAAAATCTAAATACAGAGGGGGGAGGTAGGACAGTTCAACAATATCTGGAGGGCCATATTCAATGTCTAAATTCAGTCTAAGTAGTACAAGTAGAGCTGCAAGTATGGGCTCGGATTTTTGGCAACTGGATATGGTAATTGCTGTTTAATACCGAAGCAGCATAAAAAGGAACCTTTTTACTCCTTAGGAACATACCCCCAAAATGTCTTTTAATTTATATCGTGTGTATAGTGTATTAAGTGCATAAAAGTATATATGTATGTGTCCATGCCAGTGCATCTGTAGTGCAGAGTAACTACTACAGTACTAACTGGAGTATTCTGAAGAGTTTTAGAAATACTTTATAATCTTCTGGAGTTCTTTTATTATTTCTGTATGCAATCTTCTTCTTCTGCTCTGGAACACATTTCTTATCCAGATTAAAATATCAACTAATTCTTACTTTCCTATGCAAGGGAGTAACTTTGCCTGTTTTCTGATGTATTTCAGCCAGAGGTGGAAACAGCAGGCCAATCGAAAGTATCTACCTTTGTGATGCTGTTCGATGTTTAATGACTAATAAGCAGCAGCTCACTTCAAGTGAGGACTGATTTTCCTTTCTAACTCTCAGCATGAAAAAAACAACAGCTGAGACATAGTGTTGGAAAACTACCTGTGAAATTAATGTTAAATAAAAAACTTTATTGATCAGCCTTTTGCATCTTAATAAGCCAGATCAATATCAAGTTATGGCTTGTTACAGCCAAATTACAGCATGTGTTTTGGGAGTCAATCCACTCCACAAAGATTTCAGTTCAAAAAAGATATGACGGTCTAATCCAGAATAATTGTGATGTAGAAGAAGCTGCATATTTTCAAATGTAGTCTAAATGTGTTTGCTTCAAAATACTGCAAGTGGCACATGTATTAAAATGTTTCAGAGAAAGCAGAAATTGTTGCTAGTGCTGAAGGCTCTGCCTTTGAAGGGGTGCCTCAAAACTCTGTCTGAGAGCTGAAAAATGGATTATTTTATTGGATTAATCTTTGCTGCCTGAGAATTAGCTTTGGTGAGATGAGCGGATAGGTAGATAGATAGATAGATAGATAGATAGATAGATAGATAGATAGATAGATAGATAGATAGATAGATAGATAGATAGATAGATAGATAGATAAAAAATGTACATGATAGATAGATAAAAAATGTACATTAGACTCTGTTACATCATTGTGCACCAGTCTTTGTTATATGCTATTTAGGCACCTTCTCAATCAGTTTATTGATTTTCACTGAATTATTAAGTGAAAAAGATTCACATCAATGGTCACGCTCTCTGCTTTGAAAGTTTTGCTCGGGGTTTGAAAATTTCAGATCTTGGTTTCTCTTAAGAGAATGTAATGTTATTTTACTTAGTGCATTCAGTTACCGATGAAATTACCCTCTAGAAAAATAATTGCGGTGACTTTTATTGTTAACAGAGTGGAAAGTTAAGCAAAGAGCTAGACTTAGTTGGCCATAAGGTGAGAACAAAACTGGATGAACTGAAAAGGCAAGAAGTTGCAAGATTAAGGATGTTAATCAAAGCCAAGATTGATGCATATCAAGGTAAGTAGACAAAGGGAAAAAATGGATGAATTGGCAATAATGTTTCAGTTTTCTCCTTCATTTACAGCTGTGTTTGAATCAGATAAAACTGGGTTCCAGTGTTTTTTTTTATTTCATTACTTATTCTTGTTCTCTTCAGAAATTAGGGGTGATAATGACAAGCTAGTTCTGAAGAAACAACACCTGCAAAATAAATTGCTTGACATTGAATTAGTTTAAAGAAGAAAGTTTCCATTGTGACATTGCCATATAGCTTTGTGTTATTTTTAAATTAACTATTCAAGTAAATCTCTGTGTAGGAGGAATGCAGTTTTTCAAATAATAATCCATATTTTCAAATCATGAAAACTTATCATATGTAATGAGAACTTAACTTTGATTGTGGAACGGTTTTAGTCTTGTCTACAGCAGATGGTAGAAATCAAGTGACCTTGGCTGATTTCAAAAAGTTAAACAGTCAGACCTGGATAGAGTTTAAATGGGACCCTACCAGAGAGTCCTTGGTCTATAGACCAAAGTGGAAAATCCCAAAAAGCAACAATCCAGAACAAGGCAATGGCAAACCACTTCCATATTGACATCAGAAAAACAATATATGCATGTCAACACCAGAAACCAAGTTGAAGAGTTAGGGCCTGTTTAAGCAATCACCCTTTTACATTTCTTTTTCCTTCTCTTATTTTGACTAAATCTACTCCATTTCAAAACATATCACAACACTGCAGGTCACTTCACAAATATTATGAAGATGGAGTGGGCTATAGGAAGAAAGCACTTCATACCCAACCAGTGTTGCCTTAATGGAATTCTGAAAATTTTATATCAATTTTTTTAACTCTCTGATTATACCCAAATAAGGTATAATAAATAATATTACCAATAAGATATTGTTACTTTAAAATCTATTTTCTTCATCTTATACAGAGGCCCCCAAAAGGTATACCGTATTTTCCGCCGTATAAGACGACTTTCTAAACCCTGAAAATCTTCTCAAAAGTCGGGGGTCGTCTTATACGCCCAGTCGTCTTATACGCCGGAAAATACGGGTATTCTATTTTATTCCTTTACACATGTGGTTTGGCATATTACTCATCAAGTTTTCTCCCCACCCTCTCTCGCTCAAACTCTATATTTTAACTGGAAAAGTTGGGGGTCGTCTTATACGCCCAGTTGTCTTATACGCCGGAAAATACGGTAATTGTTTGGAGAGGGATAGGATTATAATTTCCTGATTGGAAATGGTTAGTGCCTTTATTTCCTTAGTAAGAATTGTTTGGTGTATTAAAAAAAAATCTGTGGGAAAATAATTTGATAATTTAATAATTTAATTTGTAGCTGCGAACCTGCATCTTGCTTAGATTGCATAGCATATCAGTAAGTAGCAAATGTAGAGACATTCTTCTCTAAAAATGTTGTCATACTTTAAGAACATTTTGGACATTCCTTTTTTATATATATATTTAAATACCCAAGCTCTGTCGTTTGCAACCTAAATTTATTTATAATCTCAAGCATCCAATGCTGGTCCAGTTATACAGGTTGTTCTGTCTCTTATTGATAGCTTTTCCTGACTGGCGTATATTCTTATTCGCTCTAAACCTTGACCCTGTGGTTAAGGTCAAGCAGATTTTTATAATCTCCACATAAATAGGTATTAAGCTAACTGAGAAATTATCTTGAGATTAGAGGGAAGAATCACCTCGGCAGATTTGACCTGTCCTGAGCAAGCCTATTATCCTCACATGACATGGAGGAAGCCATCCTATTACCAGGATTGAAAATCAATTCAAGATCTGGACTAGCCAGTTTTTATATCTGGAGTCTGTGTGTATGTGTGTCTGTCTTTCTGAGGTGTGCTGGTGGCAACAACAACAACAACACCTTGTTGAGACCTACTTTTTCTATCGCCTGGGCATTTTTCATCTAATTTAAAACCTCCCTTGAACCTTGTGAGTGCTGTAGGTTGTGAATATCTTCTTAAAATATGAATTGCCTTTTAAAATATGCTCTTGAATTCTACCCAGTTCTTGTTGTATTGTATCTATCAATGTAGTCACCACAGTTCTGTTTTTTGTGTGGGTTGCTTTTAGATTCTGGCGTAGACCATCAAGCTCTTCTCAAACAGTTTGGGCATCTGAACCACCACAACCCTCACACTTTTGAAGTTAAAGATTTAGATATGCTAATAAAAACTGTAAGTGTTCAGCAAATATTTTCGCAGATGCTTGTTTTCTCTTTTTTTAAAAAAAAAATTTCTATACTGGTCTGCAATTCTGTCTCTTAATTTGTCAGTTTTAAGTATCTTTCATAGATATCTCAGGAATCTTAACTTGGAACTCAATTTGAATCCATAATATAATGTTGTATTACACAAGATTTGTGCACTTAATAAGTGCCCCCCACCCATCTGCTCATGTTCCTTATAGTGCATCATGGATTTAATGTTCTCATGCCAATATAAGCACCTTTATATATTTACTAAGTCTTTAAACCGTTAAAATGAGCCAATTTAATTCCTCCTCACATTTTGTTATACTTGGAAGTAACTTTATATTAGTCAACCAATAGTTTTACTGGATTAACAATCTGCTTACTTAACATTCACACCAGTTTAAATGTGTACTCAGTTTTCTGAATAATAGTATAGTTCAGTGATGGCGAACCTTTTAGAGACTGAGTGCCCAAACTGCAACCCAAAACCCACTTATTTATCACAAAGTGCCAGGGCCGCATCAGCATTGTGGTGCCCTCAAGGGGGGCAGGGGGCGTGGCCCACTGGGTGGGCATGGCTGCGGTGGTCACGGCAGACTGGGTGGGCGTGGCTGGGGTGAGCGTGGTCACCTTGATGTTGCTCGGAGGGACGCCTGTGGGGGCTGGGCAGGATGGGGGAGTTCCAGCGGGTCTCTGGTGGGTGGGACAGTGGGCAGGAGGCTTGTCCTGCAAGGGGTAGGGCAGGGGTGCCATTGCTGTGGGGCAAGGCGAGGCAGGGGCGGCTGTGCCTGATACCATCAGCCCCCCCACACACAGAGGCCAGCGAGCGCATGGGGGCCTGCTCTACCACCTCTACTCGAGCTTCCTAGCCAGCTGCTTCACTTCCTTTGTGCTGGGTGGGGCTGCCATTCCGGGCACCAGTGGTGGCTTAATGGGCCTGCGCGAGCTGGCGGCAGTGGCGGCAGGTGTGCCCACAGAGAGGGCTCTGAGTGGCACCTCTGGCACACGTGCCATAGGTTCGCCATCACTGGTATAGTTTATTTTGCAATGTTAGAAAGGTATAATCATTTGCAATGTAAAAATCATTCCGTGATGGCAGGAAAAGCTTCTTCAATGCAGCAGATCCTAAATAGCTTTAAAATATAATTAAGTATATATTTGTTTAACATCTGCTCCACAGGTAAATGAACTGTTGCATTTAATAACTTACTAATTAAATTTTTTTAATTTTTTTTTAAAAAAAGATGGTCCTCCATCAGGCAACAGAATTGCAGATATGAAAAGTATATTGAAATAAACGAATGGATAAATGAATGTGTAAAGATAGGTTGTAGAGAGAGGTGGAATAATAGCTAAGCCATCAGGCTAGAAACTGGGAGACTGTAAGTTCTATTCCCACCTTGGCCCAGTCATCTATCTCAGCCCCAGGAAGGAGGCAATGGCAAACTTCTTCAGGCAATCTCCGAGAATCAGGAACGGTTGAACAGAAAAATAATAAACAAAATAAAGATAGGGCAGATTTCCATGAAGGAAGCTGTGCTAAGCCCTGCATGCAGGAGGGAAAGAGGAAGTTAATGCTCCTCTCTTCCCAGCTGAGTGGCAAGAAAACAACTCTGCCCACATCTTACAGTTCCATGTCTATGGAGATTCTCAGTCATCCGGGTCATGGTTGCCTAAAGGTGCTTTTTCAAAGCGCAACTGGACTTTGTTTTTCCTTGAAAATGTTTCGCTTCCCATCCAAGAAGCTTCTTCAGTTCTGACTGAATGGTGAAGGATAGGAGAATTGCTGCAAAGGATATAAATCCTTCCATCCTCCACCATTCAGTCAGAACTGAAGAAGCTTGTTAGATGAGAAGCGAAACATCTTCTAGGAAAAACAAAGTCCAGTTGACTTTTTAAAAAGCACTTTTGGGACTTACAGGTCCATGATCAGTGCTTCTATCCTGTAGGCCAGGGGTAGGCAACCTTGAAAAGAATGGTTGAAAGGCACAGATTGCGCATATATTTATTACTTATTAGACCTCGCCCCCACCTTTATTACTTTGTATGTAACTCAAAGCTGTGAACATATCTAATATTCCTTCCTCCTCCTATTTTCTCTGCAACAACAACCCCATGAGGAGGGTTGGGTTGAGAGAGAATGACTGGTCCAAAATCACCCAGCTGGCTTTCCATGCCTTGTTGTTGTTGTTGTTAATTGCGAAGTCGTGTCCGACCCATCGCGACCCCATGGACAACGTTCCTCCAGGTCTTCCTGTCCTCTACTATCTTCTGGAGTCCATTTAAGTTCATGCCTACTGCTTCAGTGACTCCATCCAACCACCTCATTCTCTATCGTCCCCTTCTTCTATTGCCCTCAATCTTTCCCAGCATTAGGCCCTTCTCCAGTGAGTCCTTCCTTCTCATTAGGTGGCCAAAGTATTTGAGTTTCAACTTCAGGATCTGACCTTCTAAAGAGCAGTCAGGGTTGATCTCCTCTAGGACTCTGACCGGTTTGAACGCCTTGCAGTCCAAGGGACTCGCAGGAGTCTTCTAAGTCAGGACTAGAACACAGTCTCCTAATTTCTAGACTAGCACCTTCAGCACTACCCAAACTGGATTATTTACAGATAAATGATCCAGATCTAAATGCACAACCTTTTTTGAGTGAAAGTCTATACTTTGAGTGATGAGCTGGGAGCTGCATTTCAAAAACTGGGCGATTAAATATTCAATGTGTCTATGCCTATATCTATTAATATTAACAAATTTGGGGGTGTTTGGGGGCTGCATTCAAAGCATGGTGAGTCCAAATGGCACCGCTTTACTTTAAAGATTTTTGTCTATTCTACTTAATTATTGTTTTTAGAAATAATTTATCTTCTATGATTTTATTGCTTTTAATGTTGTAACCCACCCAGAGTTGCTTCAAAGCAAGATGGGCGGCAAAGAAATGTAATAAATAAATAAATAAAATAAAGTGTACAGGGCTGGTCAGTTTAATTGTGACAGTAACTGTTAACAATCACACTTCGAAATAAGTCAGTTTTGTTATTTCTATTTTGTAGAGATGGAGGCAGAGGCATAAAAAAAATGAGCTTTTACCACCCCCTAGTGTCAGTAATATTTACGATGGGATAGTTGATGATGAGCATTGCTGTAAACACCATGTATTATTACTGTACTGTATACCTTCATAACTAAATGAAGCAGGGATTGAGGAAATAGTGCTGAGTTTTCTCTGTGGGAGACAATTAAAGTATTAAAAGCATTATAGAAGATGTTGAAGAGTATTAAAGAATTAATACTCATTAAAGAATCTAATTAAAAGAATTAGATGAGTAAAAAGAATTAGAATTAGGGTTGAATTCTGGAGTCCTTGGTGCTCTCTGAGTTTAGTTGTCTGCTTCCAGAAGTGTCATTACACAACTACGTAACATCATCAGTCACTCAGTGAAACTGCAATTTTGCCTATGATCTTACTTCAGCTTTCTTTGCTTTAGAGACTTGTGAAGGTTGCAAATGTGAGGATTGGATACAACATTTTTCATCATTGTTGTGTTTGTGAATGGTTGTAGAACAAGGCAGTCACTAAATGAAAACTACATGTAATTTTAGATAGTATGGCTAAGAATTCCTTATACTACATAATTACTTTAAGTCTAGATGCAGTGAAGATATTTTGTATACAACAATAATTCTAAGTTTCTTCATATCTTCATTTTCTGCTAATCTGAAAGAGATGGTTGTGAAATTTATTGTTCAGGAATTCTTTTATATATATATGTGTGTGTGTGTGTGTGTGTGTGTGTGGTGATTGGGTTAGTCAAAAGTACAATAACAGAATCTTTAGTACATATCTCAGGTTACATCATCAAATATTTCTTCTCGGTTTCCCTTATTTGCTGTATCATATTTAAGCTAGTAAGTTTCTGATTATATCAAACTCAATTAAGACTCCATTATCACATTTATCAATACATTTTTTGCTTATACATATCCATATCCTGTTTTTAAGTTTTACCTAATTTTTAATTACAGTACTCCAATTTAACCTTTAATATCCAAAGTATTTAAGTTTCGGGTAACCCAAATTTCCTTTGCCTCACTACATAAAAATTATAATGTCTAAAATGCACATATTACTTACTTAAATATATTCTAGTTTTATTTCATAAATATTTTCTATTTCTCGCCCTAATACATCATCACCTTAATAGTGGAGTGTTCTTTATTATCTATATTATCTGCGCTAAACAATAATTCAAGCCTATTTCCTAGTAGTTAATTTTCATTTCCCATATAATTCTAGATTCTCAATATTAAACAAATTAATCCCTTATTTTTTTACTATTTTCCAACTATTTTAATCTAATAATCAAAATTTCCACTATCTCAGAATCTCCCTTTAGCCGAATAGTTAGCAATTTAGGATCCTCTGTAGTAGACCAAAAGACCCCCTTTTTTCAGTCTAGCTTTCTTTTTATGCCAACCAGGCTTCCATACCAATGCTTTTAACTCATCAGATAGATCTCCCTTCATTCTTGTACATGTTACTTGAATCAAAGGAGACCATCTAGTTGTCAGTTTTCTAAAAGAACTGGCCCATATATAATCATTGAATTGTCACCCTGGTGGCCCATGTCCCCATATTTGCTCTAATACAATTGTCTTCAATTCGATCTGGTCTTCTTCTTCCTCAGGTTTCTTCTGGTTTCTGTAGAAAGTCATGTCCAGTTTTATAGTTGTTATTTGATTGTCTAAATTTTCAGTAAGTTGTACTTGTTGCTCTTTAAAGTCCTCCGTCTTGGTATTAATTTCTTCAGCTTCTGTTGTTTTTTGCATTGTAAATTCTTTAGTTGCAATCAGGGTTTCTCTTTGTAGATTTAAGCTGGCGTCTTTGTCTTTCAGTCTAGATTTAATTATCTTGGTGCTTCAAGAATTTTTTCAAGAGTAAGTTTATAATGAATTGAAATTTATTGTTCAGGAATTCTTTACGAACTTGAATATATCCTGAGAAAAATGTCCTGAGGGAAACGAGAAGATGGCCTGGTCAAACAGGAGTTTCTTAATGCTGCTTAGCTCAATGTTTATCCTCACTCTAGAAAAAAAAAAAAGGCTCCCCCCC